GCTACGTATTCCTTCTCCTCTTTGCTCAGCACAAGGCACATCAAAAAAGGAAGTAAAAATTAGTTTATTACATAGCTCTTGGGGACAGGCCTTTAGCTGTTATGAATCACTGAAGCTCCATTGGCTGCAGTGGTGCCACACTGATTTACACCATCAAAGAATCTGGCCCTATATGTTTTTGTATAAAAATGGTGTAAATATTGCATAGTGTGTTCATTCCCTTCTTCCAGCACACACACACACAGAGAAAAAATGCCCCAGGGACAACTGCCTGAAACAGCCTGCCAGGCTCCACCATGTATTGGCAAATTAAAAAACAAACAAACAAAACTTCATCAAGCTTGTAGTTTGAATGGAATCTTGTAAGGCAAATTAGTTCTTAGAACAGGAAAACAACTTCTTCATTGGTTTAAAAACAATCTGTCTGAAGGAAGACTAACTTGTATGTTTTAAAAAAAGATTTGGTTTACATTTCATTTTATTACATTTTGTATAGTTCATATTATAAAATGTATATCCAGACAGAAGCATTAATGTATCGCAGACCCAGCAATCTGGAAATGTAGAAGACCATCTGGATAAGATCAAGGAAAGCTGACTTCCAGACCAAATTTAAGCAAGCACTTAAAATCTTTTCCATTCTCTCTCCTTCCATTTTAAGAAAATGCTAATATAGCCATCACCAGGCAATAAGATAGAGGCGTATATTCTAGATATCTAATCCTACCCATTGTGACGGGTTATCTGAGCTACAGATTGCAGATGATTCATTTCTGTCCATTTGGGCCAGTGGACACTCTTGATAGTACAAATATTATCCACAGAAGCTTAATTTAAATACCAATTCATATGTCATCCCGCAATGACACTGTATGGTAGAAGTTTATTTAGTTGCAGTGTGGCAGGGGACTCTCAAAGTCCAACTGTTTCTTTGTTGCTGTAGTGTATTAGATGCTGTTTTTTAATGTTTTCCTGAATCCTTTCCATATATTCTTGAATCTGTTACTTTTTCACTAGGAACTCAGATTGTGCAACCCTTTCTCACAGCAGTGATCATTTCTGTGAGTAGTCCCTCTGCAGTCAGAATACTTGCACGAGTGGATGTTCACTGGCATAAATGTAGAAGAATCCGGCCTTATATGTGCTTCATAAAGCTGCAGGCAATAAACATCTCATTTTCTGAGAATAATTAGTTTGTTTGCTCAGGACATGGAATTAGGGCCAAAGGCCACAAAGTTTTGGTGTTTTAGTTCAGACCTTTCTCTAGAAAGATGTCCAAGTGCATTGTAAAGGAAGAGGTATGTCTAGTTCTCTACTTTACCTACCTATATTTCCCAGAATTAATTGCTCTGAAAGGGGAAATGTTACTCCAAGTGCTGGCATTGTATGATGCAGTGACGTCATTTCTGGATGTTTCACTCCTGGAGCCATTATTTGCTTTGTTCTTCACAGCAAAATTGATCAGACAACATTCCTGGCTTACTCCATCTGGTCCTGCAGTTACCTCTTATTTTGGGGTGTACTTTCTTTAGGCAGAGAAGGTTTTGTCTGTCCCTCAGATTGGATTAGAAATCCTGAAGAAAACATAGTTTATGGCTAAAGAGAAAAAGCTTTATTGAAAAAAAACTCATTATCAAAACCTTTGGCTTTCGAAAATATTTACAAGTAAAATTGTGAGGACTAAATCACGAGAGATGATGTGCACCCGCAACTCCTACTGAAAGGAATTGAGGGAACATTGTCCCAAATAACTTCCAATTCTGTATCTGAACACGTTTTATGCCTCTTGTTGTTTGTCCCCCAGTAGCTCTTTCTGTGTAAACTGTAGTAGCTTATAATTCCTTTTTTACTTGACTCAGTTAAAACTGAACACATTTAATTTAATTGCACTAAAATCTTCATTAACCTAATCACATTAAAATGTCCATCCTTAACACTGACCTCACCTATAGTAAGTTATATTCCCTACAGATATATGTGCAGTGCTGAAGTCTATCATATAGAGAGTCCTGTGGCACCTTTAAGACTAACAGATGTATTGGAGCATAAGCTTTCGTGGGTGAATACCCACTACGTCAGACGCATGACATGCGTATTCACCCACGAAAGCTTATGCTCCAATACATCTGTTAGTCTTAAAGATGCCACAGGACTCTATGTTGCTTTTTACAGATCCAGACTAACACGGCTACCCCCTGATACTTGAAGTCTATCATGTGTCATTTGTTTGTGGGAAATTATGTGGTTATAGCTAAGAGTTTGCTTTCGGATGTACCTTTTCAGGAATTGCATGTGTGGCGAGGCCAGTTTTATGTTGAAAATGAATGAACCTTAGCAGGTTCCTCAGACTGAGGGTGAGGGATAGGGTAAGGAACTATGTATGTAAGTAACAAAAAGAGAGAGAGGGAAAGCCAGGGAGGTTGTGACAAAAAATGGAAGCACATATTGGATTCTCTTGGTGCAGATATACAATGCAGTGATGAATAAGGGAAATACCTTTTTTCTGTTCAGTTTTACAATTTCAAATGTGGCCAGTCTGACAGGTGTCATGGTGATTCAAATGTGTATAAACTCAGGAATTTGTAGAGACTACGGCTATGGTAATTTAGCTACCCGAAGCCAAAAGTGATACTTAGGGTCAAAATATCTGGAGTGATGTTTCATTGTTTTCACTGGGAAAATTGGTGGCTAGATTATCTAAATAGTAGAGAAAAGTTATTTGTCATTCAATTTAGAAGTAATTCTGGAATTAATAAATTATTAAATATGTCACTGTACATGCAGAGACGAAATTAAATTGCTGAATTGAGGAAGAGAAGAATTTTAATTGTTAGGGGAAAAAACTCAATGGCACTATGGAGTTGCTTCTACCAATGTACTTATAGTGTTCATGAAGTATTCAAATGCCTTTTGATGGCTAACTTGTATAAATGGCCTTTGGTTTCAAAGGAAGTCTGTGTTTTCCTAAAAACAAGAAAGTCAGGAAATATAGTTGGAACAGTAAACAAGCAGCAGTGGGATCAAAGCACTAACAATATTCTGTGTCTCTTCAATTACAGCTAATAGTTTGAGCTACTGCAGGTACAGAGCTGTTTGCATAATTTCCTCCATTTTAAGGTATTTCCTTTATAGAAGTACAGTTACCAAGGATTTTTTAAAAATATCAACATGTGTATGCCATAGAATGATTCTCAGAATACCTAAAGTTAAAAATGAGACTGTTTCATCGTATATGCAAGAAAAAATGCTGACTTGTTTCCAAATCACAACAGAGTATCTTAAGAAAACATTAAATCTGAGTGGTGCTGATAAAGGTAAGAATGCAAAATTTTCAAATCTGGGTAACCAAAGGTAAGCACCTGACTCCACATTTTAGGCAACTACAGAAGTGGATTGCTGAGCACTTATGGAGCAAATCCTGAGTGTGAGCACTATAGAAAAGCCAAGAGCCTATTCTAGTTTTCAAAGAGAGTTCAAAGAAACTTTAAAAACATAGATGAATGCAAAAAAAATTGGACATGCTTTTTAACATAATAAACTATGGCACTGTTTACTTGGATGTGAATATAAAATATGTCATCTCAGATTTAACTTATATTTACCAGTGCATTGAGTAAACTCTTCTGTGTAGTAGCAGATCTGTACCATAGAAATATTGGATGAAAGGGCTAGGTTATATCTTATGTTATGATTTGCTAATTTCCTCTGTACAAGGAGTTAATGAAATGCCAACAGTATAAAGTTTGGGCCTGAGCACATTAAGATACGCCTACATGTTTATCTGCTAGTTCCCAAAGGACATCGTGTAATTGGCAGTATTTTTTAGACAAAACATTTTTCTAGATGATAGTTCAATCTATAAACAATAACAGTTGCTTAGCCCTTCAAAAGGGCCTGATCCTAATACTTCATTATCGGTAAGTTATTTTCTAGCAATACCTAAAGCTGTCATGTGTATGAATTGCTGATATAATGCTGAATGAAATGTTTTATTACAACATGACATTAAATCAAGAAAAGATCTCTGATTATTAATTCTTGGACATTCTTGGACTTGTCAACTCTGAACTGTGCTCTCTTGACTCTTCTGTAAAGCAGATTTGTGGGAAGTAAATTGCACACTATGGCATTTCTGATCTAATCTATAATAATACAGACAGTATCATGAGTTATAACCATCAATAACTGTCAGAAATATAGGAATAACTGTTCCAAACTATACAAATTATGTCAAACTGATTAATCCAAACCAGTTCAAAGAGAAGGAAGTTAGAATATTGCTTGATGACCTAGTTATCTACCAAGAAATCTCAGGAGATCCAGTGACTATATTCTTTTTTTTGTTTCCACTTCTGGGGTGTAGAGAAAAGAACTGAATCAGAGGAACTTGTTGGGGTAGGATCTGAAAGTGGATGGGGAACAATTGTAAGCTGATGGGTTTAGAAAGTTTTGTGGTGAAGTGTTATGCACCAGTTTACACCAGCTGAAGATTTGGCCTTTATGTCTACCTTCTCACTGACAGTGATATTATTAAGACATGTTCATTGTTCAATAAGACCTTTCAAAATGGTTTATAGAATTAATATTTTGTGGAAAGAGGGTTCAAAGTTTGGGAACTCCCTCATTAACACAAACCCATCCTTAGGAATAGAGTTCTCAATACCCCAAGGAAGGGACTTTAAACGTTAGATTATTCTGACTGGTATACTTGAGTTATTGCTTTTTCATAGTAATCCACATTTTTCCACAATGACACTCAATTCCATACTTTTATGAAAATTTTGTTTGACTGCTAGTTCCTTGATTCTCCCCTTTGATAGACTAAAAGTATTACCTCAACAACTCTTATGACCCAGGAAGGCAAGAACTACATGAGCCCCAAACTTACACTCAGACCTGGAACTAACAGCTATGTCTAGAAAAGTTAATATCTGAGAACTACCAACTTCTGCCATTCAGTCTGTTAATGAAATTAATTTTCTGTTGTGTTTATCCTACAGGGCTCTATGAAAATTATCCAACCAATGCAGAACCAGAATGCTGTGATGTCAGATGGGGACTATTACCAGATAATCAATCCAAAGGGACTATAAAAACGAGTGACTCATCAATGTGTCACAGGACATCACTCACAGTTTCATCAGCATCAAGACTGTGTAACAGCAGACTTAAACTGTGTGTTCTTGTATTAATTCTCTTACATACAGTACTTACAGTCTCAGCAGCACAGAACTCAACAGGACTGGGCTTTGGAGGCATAACAACTTTGGAAGATAATTCAACTAATGAGGAATAAAAGAAAGGATACATGTCAAATGATAGACACACAACAGGCCCATGTGTACTACAGTCAAATATAACAGAGACTGGGTGCTTTTACCCTCAAATCACTTCTTGAAAGGCCTTCTGGGTAAAATTAAAAGGATGGGCAACAATCCAAACAAGGACACATGAACACAGCTTTTTATTGACTAAAAGGCTGTATGGTGACTTAAATTTCTCACACCATTTTATACACTGTGTTTTAATGTTTGGAGTTTCTTTTTTTGTTTGTTTTTTGCACTTGTTAATACAGGATTTTATTTTTGGGACCGTTTCTCAAAGCTAAACTAAGTCTTTTCACTGTCGATATATTTCTATTCATTGTGTATGTTCATCTGATAGTTCTGTCTTTTATGTCCTGTCAGTTTCTATTAGAGGAATGACTGCTATGATTCCATGGCATAACAAAAAATGAAAAAACAACAAAAACATATTTAAAAAAAAACCAACAAAAAACACAAAAAAAATTACAAAAAAACACACACACACCCACCACCAACCTAACTTTCCTTTTTACCTATGGAAACCATTCTCTTCCTTCCCCCTCCCCCATCTCCCTTAAGCAGACAACATCCACTTGCTTCTGTCTGTGTAATCACAATGAATGGGTACACATGATTCTGGTGTACCTCTGCCACTGTTGCACAAACCAGCTGACTGAGCAAACCCAACCAGAGCATGAGGGGGTTCCTTTTAGCTGAACAAACAAGTGCTCTCCTTACAAGGTGGGATCGGACAGTTAACAAATTTTTATGTATAGAAATCTATAACAAACTGTTGCTCCAATTCCCATTTTAAAGAAGTCCAGTCCTTTCTCGCTGGTCAGTTGAACAGGAGCAGCCTTTTTAGATACAGTATGGGAAACCAGTTAAGCTCAGCAAGTTGAATAGTTGGGAGGCCTTCCCATTGGAGGTAAAAGATTGGCATTCATTGTGAATTACGTTTTCAGTTCCACTGCAGTCACATAACCAGCAAAGATTCATAATGTCTGGGAGCAAAGAGATTCAGAAAAAAAGAAGCCTTTTTCTTCTGACAAAGCTACAGTAGAAGCATTTAAGCACCGACAGTACAAATGATGTGTTCAGTGTTGAATCCATTGTTTTTCTAACAGCTACATGTTGTTGAAAGTTATTCGAGTTATGAAGGATGCATCGTGATGTATTAGCACAGCTGAAGAACATGGGTTTTTTAATAAATAGGTCAACCATTTTCATAAGTATGCAATAAAACAGCAAAGAACATACCAGGCTATCAGTAATCAAGGGAAAGAAGAGTAATCTGATTGCCTTTTCCATTGGTTTTTTTTTGTTTTTATTTTTGTGGGAACATTTTACCCGCTGAGTGTATGAGTATTTGCTTTATAAAAAGGCTTTTTAGAGTTTACAATAGAATCAATGGAAGGAAAAGTTAATAAGGGCTGTTTTTAAACATTTTACATTCCTTCCTATTCTCTAACTACACTTGGGAAGTGCACTTTAGAGATGTTTGCTGTGTAGCTGGGAAATGAAGGAAAACTATAAGAAATGTTCTCTTAGCAAATAAAGTTTAGTTACCTACTTTCTAGCTTTGAAATATCCCTTGATAATTATTTACATTATAAGAGCATTTAAGCACTGCTACTTAGGTATGCAATTTTTTTAAATTCACATTTTATGGTTTGTGAAATTCTGTGGGGGAGGGGGGAGAAGGAAACCCTAATGCTTAAGCTGCTTAAAATGCATTTGTTAAGATGTAAAATCTCAAATATTTTGCAAGAGTATTTGTTTTGATAGTGTTTTACTATTACTGGGACTGAGGATCCTAAAACAATCTGTGCAAATACAAAAAAGCACCAAAAAATGCAAAATTCTTCAGCTCATTTATGTTTCCATAACCTGTTCCCCCTACACAATATATTCCATTCAATAAAACATGGTGCTTTTTTTGCTAGGGGCACGTGTTAATTGCATTGAACTGATGCAAACTGTGGAAAAAAGTGTAGAAATGAAAAGGAAAAAGCCTTAACTAATGGTAGAATGTAGATTACAAAGAGGATAGGAATATTCCTGAAAAGTAGTGGAGCAATAACTGGACAGTGCTGCGGTACTGTACGATAGCTTATGAGTCACATTATTGAGAAAGCACGTACTAGGTGAGCTCTTGTTCAACTGACCTCTTAATTATATTAAGTGTATATGGTCAGTAAACAGTTTGTTATAACCTTTATCTACCTCTGCTGTGCAAAGGCCATTCAACATCTATTTCTGTGATGTTCTTCATATTTTTGTTCACACCATAGTTCACTTTCATCTATTTTTACACTGCACCAGTACAGTAGCAAGTCCTGTTCATCCCCATTAAACTGGCGTATAAAGAAGAGTTACCATTTCTACTCACTGAACCCTATTTTTCCTCATGGTGACCTAATGTGACAAATCATCTTTAAGAAATATTATTTCTTCCCTCTCTGTCTCTCTCTCCCCTTTATTTTTTCTTTAAAGGTGTTTTCAACTGGTGTCAGTAAGAAATATGACTCCTCCACTGCTTGGCTACACTCAGTAACATATGTCATACAATATGGGGAGAAAGACAGCTGAGAAAAAACAGTGGCGACATCATCACATGCATAAAATAGCCAAATTAAAGTTGGGTAAAATGGAGTAGGAAGCAATTACAGAGTCTTAATCATTAAGTATAAAATGTAATAAAATACTCCCCCTATCCCCACCCCGAGTCAGTGCCTGCAGTTAAATGGTCTGTGAATTCTCTCTGTCTTTTTTTTCTTTTCTTTTCTATTTCTTTTGTTTAAAAAAAAATCATGTTCTTGGGGTGACTACTGCTGTGATATTTGTTACCATTCCAACAAGGTATTTCTACTCCAGCAGTGTGGTACGAAGCTTCTCCTGGTGACAACTAGGAAATCTCAAGTAGACAAAGACTTTTTTATGAAGTTAAGCAACACGTAATCATGTATGATGCAAAATTTCATTTCATCCACTCCTCCTTCGTAATAGTTTTCCTGGCACAAACTTAAGCATGCTTGATATTGTGCACATCTTACTTTTTTTGCCAGAATAAATTTGCATCTTGCCACTGCTGTGACTGCCATCTTGTTCCATTTCTCCTTGTACTGTATGCCTATTACATACATGATAAAGAACTGGCTTAAAAAAGAAAAGATAATACTAAAATATTTCTTCAAGCAAGTGACAAAAAAAAGAAGAAAGAAAGAATAGAATAATATTTATTTTGCAGTCATATGGAACAGATTTTCCTCATGTCTTTTATTGTCTTATTTTCTGCAGTAGGGAAAATCCAGAGTTTGTGCAATATGTTAATACTGCTCAACCAAATGTCATATAACATAACCAGAGCTATATGTTATTCCTTATTGCATTTACATTTGGTAATATGTTATATTGACTTTTTTCTTTCATTAAAGAGCCAGCATCCATTTTTTGCAAATATAGCAGGTGAAGGCTGTCCTTCTGAACGCCATAACTTAACGACAAAAACAAATGTAGAATAAAGGTTTAGCTCCATAATTGATGAAACAGAGCCATTGACTGTCAATGAATCTGTGGAACAATAAAGACACACCAAAAATGGGTTTTCAAGAAATTCCATCATGAGTGGTCAAACAGTAGTTTTCATCTAATAAAACAGGGGAACAAAGAGCTGTATACCAAATAGTGGAGATGGCAGGTTTCATTGGGTATGTAGTGTTGGTCTCAACACTTAGCCAATATAATTATATTCTGTTATTACAAAGTGGAGGGACAAGGACATTGTCTTCCTTCTTTCTATGTATCTATCTGTTGAGAATGGCCTTGGCCCTAAGTATTGCATTGAAGCCGAAAGCACATCTGCTTATCATTATAACTGAAGACACCACACATGCGTGCACGTACACAGTGAAACCTGTCTTAAGTGACTACCCAAAGCGCAAGCAAAAATAATTTGCCTAGCAGAGAGAGTTAATTAAAGGTCAAACAAAATTATACTAGAAACCTTAGGGAGAAATTGAAATGGCCAGGTGAGGTTCTCACTGGAGATGTTCCTCACTGCAGGTTTCACTGTACATCTCAAAAATGCCCCAGCCCTTCAGTGAACTCTTTGTAGATGGAACTGTGGCTCTGCTTGGAGCCCCATTGACTTCAATGGAACTCCATGCGGACACAGGGTCTGTCCACTGAGAGCTCATTGCAGAGTCTGGGTCTAAATTTGTGATCCATGTAGTCTGTACTCCAGCAGTGTGCCTAAGTAAAAACTTCAGGATTGGTCCCTAATGGGCTAAAGCTTAATTATATATTGATAGATGGTATACTGTGAATGGTTCCATTCTTTATTAGTTTGGTAGCAAGCTCATCTCAAAACAAAATCCACTGCATGGAGCACAGACTAACAGAAATTTCTCCGTTACTGAGGGGAAATTAAATAGCAGTTCTGAGGTAGCAAGAGATTTTGGAAGTTTGGAAAGTAAATGTGAGTGGGATGTATCAGTTGGATATTTGGTAATGGTGATATGGTGGTTAACATTAGTAGCCTTGGGATGAAACCTAAATAAATACAATTTGGGGTTTTTACTTGCAAGAATTAAAAAAAAAAAAAAATCCCTGAGCAAAAGCTTGAATTAGACACTTCTGAATTTTCCAGCATTGTTGTTGATTATTAAGACTGGTCTGTATATGTGAAAAAACCTATAGAGTGTGATGGTATAAAAAACAAAAATAGAGCTGGGACAACCTTGGGAAACCCATCTGGCAAGCAAAGTAGGTTTCTTTAAAAATATACAATATGTCAATAGGCAGATAGATGCATATATAGATATGGATCTATGTATGTATATAAATATCTATTTATAGATATAAATATAAGGTTTCCAAGAGTGTCCAACATACAGGCATACTGTGTGTTAAAAAAAAAAAAGCCAGTGGGTAAAAAGGTAACATATAGGATGACATTCTCCTTTCTGACTCATAGTTACACTATGGA